GCGGCGGTGCCGGCGGCGGCGGCGGCGGCGGCGGCGGCGGAGGCGGCGGCGGCGGCGCGCCTTGAGCTGGGTGGTTTACCTGAGGCGCCGTTGAACGCGGCGGACGTATTGTGCCAGCCGGGAGCAGCGCTCGCCTGCATGTGCAGGGGGTGCGCAAGAAGCTGGCCGCGAGCGTGTGATGACAATCGAGATGCTTAGAACTTTCGTTGGCCCACATACAACACCACCCGTGCTCCAATGCATTCGTTGCTGGCCTATTTCAGCGCGTCAGTCTAGTCACTCGACACAATTCCGCATTGATTGGCTCCCAACACCTCCGCCTCTTTCTGGCCTGCGCGCCGTCATTCGTCCTGCGCACCACTGCAGCCCCTCATTACAGCTGCCGCCTGCGCACCTTTGGCCTGCGGCCGGTCCCGGGACCGCCCCGCAAACAGGCCGCCCCACTGCATTCGTGCACGGCCCCCCGGCTGCAGGAGGGCCCGAGCACTGGAGTTTGTGTGCTTGCGCAGGCGCCTCGCACACAGATGCGCCCCGCTCTCCAGCCTTGGGCCTGCTTGGGCGGCGAGCTGTCCAAGGAGTGGGCGGCTGGCCTCCATTGATGCCCGGCCAGCCGCTGGGTGTTGGCCCGGCGGCTGGCGTATGTTTCAGCTGTGCATTCGACCACGTCTCGCAATGCTTGATCAGGGTTTTCGTCCCTCCACAATGACCCGCTCATTGCATTCCACCTGGCGGAGTCACGCGCGTCGCCGTTCCGAAAGGGGGGCTAGGCTTGCCGGAGTCCATGGTGCACTCCTGCCGTCGCGGCTCATCGGCTCAATCGTCCCAATTCGCATGATAAATGCACTTTCCAATCGATAACCACGCCACGGCTGCTGGAAACTCGCCACGGGAGGGCTGAATTCTAGCGGGGGTATGCGTACACAGACTTTCAACGCTGTGGTTTCAAGCCGGGTCCATGTGCCGTGTGGCGCCTTGACGCTGTACCTGCGCCAACTGCAGGCGGGCCTGCCTGCCCGGTGACTGAAGGATCACAACCCTTCCAAGGCACACGCCGGTGGATCCCCTCCCACTTGGTGGCTTGGAAGGCAGTGTGGATGCATGTCGCCTGACCTGTGGCGGGTGAGGGGGACTGGGGGCATATGGTAATGTTGGCAACACAGGTGCGGACCTCAGTGCACCCTGGAGCACCACGAATCTTGCTTGCTCAATGGAACACGCTCTTCTCGTCTGAACTTGCGTGGCACTTTTCTGGCCTTTTTGCTGTTTCTTGTAATCTTGAAGAGGACTACAGTAGAGGAGGCATATGTAGTCTGCAACACATGCAAAAACACATGGAAATGCACACACGCGCGCGCATGCGCATGCGCGCGCATGCGCGCGCGCACAC